TTTGTTGATTGTTTCCTTCACTGTCAGAAGCTTTTTTTTTTTTTTTTTAATTTACATCCAAATTAGCCTATAGTGCAACAATGATTTCAGGCGTAGATTCCTTAGTGCCCTTTACCCATTTAGCCCATTCCCCCTCCCACAACCCCTCCAGTAACCTTCAGTTTGTTCTCCATATTTATGAGTCTCTTCTGTTTTGTCCCCTTCCCTGTTTTTGTATTTTGTTTCCCTTCATTTATGTTCATCTGTTTTGTCTCTTAAAGTCCTCATATGAGTGAATTCATATGATTTTTGTCTTTCTCTGACTCATTAATTTCACTTAGCATAATACCCTCCAGTTCCATCCATGTAGTTGGAAATGGCAAGATTTCATTCTTTTTTATTGTCAAGTAATACTCCATTGTATATATATACCACATCTTTATCCATTCATCCATCCGTGGACATTTGGGCTCTTTCCGTACTTTGACTACTGTAGATAGTGCTGCTATAAACATGGGGGTGCACATGTCCCTTCGAAACAGCACACCTGTATCCCGTGGATAAATGCCTAGTAGTGCAACTGCTGGGTCATAGGCTACTTCTATTTTCAGTTTTTTGAGGAACCTCCGTACTGTTTTCCAGAGTGGCTGCACCAGCTTGCATTCCCAGGGAGACTTTTTTTTTAAGTTATTTATTGAGAGAGAGAGTGTGCGCATGCACACATGCAGGGGAGGGCAGAGAGAGGGGGGAGAGAGAATCCCAAGCAGGCTCCACAATGTCAGCAAGGAACCCAATGCGGGGCTCTAAGTCACATACTGTGAGATCATGACCTGAGCAGAAATCAAGAGTTGGACCCTGAACCAACTGAGCCACCAAGGTGCCCAGGGAGACTTTTGTTCTTGATCCCTCACTGGGCTGGGCCTGCTTCTTGTCACTCTCTCCCCTTCTCAGTCGTGCTTCAAATGCCTTTGCTCTGGCTGGGCCCTCACTAGGAACGTTCTGGACTCAAACCCCATGCCCAAGATGGCTACAGCACACCAGTCCCTCCTCTCACAGAAATGTGCCAACCACATTTTCTCAGGGTTGCAAATTTGCAATACATCTTGCATTTGCTCTCTCTGTCTCTTCCCAAGTGCTTGATCTGACATTTGGACAAAGGAACAGTTAAACACAAACTGAATGAGTGTTTCTGCATGCTTTCTGTCTCGTCTCTAAACCATTAAGCCCCTGAGCCGGGCACCCCCTGCTCATCAAGATCATTCCTGGTTCGCAGATTTTGCTCACACTTTGCCCCTGCCCTGGGTACCCTCTCACAAGGCAGACCTCTTTCAAGGTCTCACCATGACTCCTTCCCTTCCCAGGCTCTCCCTTGCCTGCACCAGCCCCCTGCAATCTCTGTGTCTTGCACCATCTGTCCAATTCACTCATTGTCTTGACCAGACAGCTTGGCCCCTAGTATGTGAACACATAATGCAGTTAACCACAACATGATCTCGTTCACTGAGCACTTTGGGGGTTGACCTTGAGCGAGGAATCAGGAACATGCACCTGAATTTTCTGGAGAGCTGGTTAGGGTCCAGAGTGTCTGATTCAGTAGGTCTGGGGTGGGCCCAATGAATTTGTATTTCTAACAAGTTCCCAGGTGCTACTGCTGCCAGTCTGGGGACTGCACTTTGAGGACCACTGACCTCCAGAGACAGTAGCAAACTGGTGTCCCAAGGGCCATATCTGGTTCACAGAGATTTCATATACAAATCTGAATTTGCATCTTGTCTTTAGAAGTATCTGTCCACACTTGGTCCTCTTTCTCATGTGGCAGTCACCCACGGCTGCCCACTCCACACTTGAAGTCCTACCCTAGCTGCCCTTACCTGTGTCCTGGTTTTAGGTCTCTGGTGCCTGGCAACTGTGGGCTCCGAAGCAGCACTGAGTCCTAGAAAGCTACCATGTGCCAGCCTGGCATGTATGGGCTGTACCAGGAACCCTGTCCTTGGATGATGTGCCTTCCCCCCAGAACCAGACCTCCTTTAGATCTTCAGACTGACCACCATTTCCAAATTTAAGCCTCTTTTTTGCTGCTTCCACCCTGAGAAACAGGCCAGCAAACCGGTGACCACACAGGGACAGCAGGGCCATAATAGCCTCACTGCTGCTCTGCACCCCCGAGGGCCCCACAGCCAATGCAACCCTGTCCCTGCAAGGGCATTAGTCTTGCCCCCGCAAGACAGAACAGGAGGCTGAAGAAGAGCAAGTGAGGAAGGAGCTACCTTCCTGGGTCCCTGGCTGGGAGGGGGAAGGGCTGCACCTCTCCTGGGGACAGCCCCTTGTGCAGGGACAAATGGGAACTGTCCACCACCAGCACCCCCAGCGACCAAATCTGAGCCTGTGGAGGGACTTGAATAGCATCCCCCCCCCCCAAATTCTTGTTCACTCAGAACTTCAGATGTGACCTGATTTGGACATGGGGTCTTTACAGATAAAATGAAGGCCTACCCTGAATGCAATGGCTGACGTCCTTATAAGAGGACACAGAGATATGTAGAGGGAAAGGCCATGAGAAGACAGACACAGATTGGGGTGATACAACCACAAACTGTGGAATGCCAGGAGCCACCAGAAGCAGGAAGAGGCAGAAAGGAGTCTTGGAAGAGGCGTCATACCTGCCCACACCTTAATTTTAGACTTCCGGACTCCAGACCTGGGACAGAATCAATTTCTGTTTTAAGATACTAAACTATAGCAGCCCATCCTTCTCCAGCACCCTCCAGCATCCTTCTATCTACAAGCCTCTGATCTGCACCCCTTCTTGCCTCCCACCCCACAGCCAATCCTTGCCAAGGCCATGACTTCTATTTCCACGGCCATCTCACAAACAAGACTGTCATCACTTCCTGCCCAGAAGGTTGCAACAGCAGCCACAGACTGATCTTCCGAAAGCAGAGCAATTCCCAGTGACAACCCCAAGTCCCCAGATCTTGAACCTTCCAGGGCTCCATGCTGCCTCGTTTTCAAGGCCTCCATCATCTGGGCCCAAACTGGCTTTCCAGCCCAGCCACTCACAGTCCCACCTGCTGATCCTTTGCTCGAGCTATTTCCTCTACCCGGACCCTGTCTTCACCTTCTCACATCTACCAGTGTGAACACTGCCCACCTCCGAAACGATTTCAAGTGGCACCTCACCCATGCTGCTCCTCTTGCTCCTCACGACCTGGAAACTTCCAGAACATGGGATCTAGGTCCTTCTGCCTGTTCTGAATGCCTCGACCTTTTGCAGTATCCCTCCACAAGGACCAGGCTGGATCCCTTGCAGGATCAAATCCTGGACCTCATGAGGGAATTCCTAGCACCTAACTCCCTGCCAGGCATTAGAGAGAGGGGTGCGAGCCAGCCTGGGTCCTTGTTGCCATGACAGTAACTCTCCAGTGGGCATGTGGGAGGCACCAGAAAAATGTGTTGAATTTGAGTCAATTCAATTGAATCTTGGAGTCTGAAGGGATCTTGGTCTGGCCTCCCACCAGCAGGCTTGAGAGGCTTTCTAGACGCTTTCTGTCCTCATTTCAACTTATTTTTCTTTTTACCAACAACACTTCTCTTTCTGCCTTTTAATTTTGTTCTATTATGGAGGGAGGGGCAGAGGGAATAGGCTGCCTTCTCCAGCACCTGGCAGCACTTCTCCCACGTGTTTTGGGGCCCAGACACTTTCACAAGCTTCCACCCCGGGCTGGCCACACCCAGGGAGGCCAGAAATCCTCTCTGCCACCACTGCCCCCACCCCCCATACACAGTAGCACTAATAAAGCCTAAGAAGGTAACACTGTCACTTGCCCCCAGTGCCTGCCCCATCCCCTTAACCACCCACTGACCATACCCACCCAACCTAGGACTTGTACCCACCATGACGGTCTGAGCTCAGGTCAGCTAGAGACAGGGCAGAGGGCAGCCACGGGAGTCCCGAGGCTGTTCGGCTGGGAAGCATCTCAACTTCCCACCAGCAAGAATGGCCCAGTTGCCATGGTTACAGCAGAGCCCGGCTCTGGGCCAAGGCCTCCCGGGGCAGCCTCCAAGGACCCCCCCAGTACTCACAGTGCAGCCAGGCGAATCCCCGGGGCATGGTGGTACGCTGTGTCCCCCAGAGAGCAGAGGCGGTGTCCCCAGCAGTGTGTGTATCCACAAAGGCCCAGGTGGGGCCTACATGGCCTCGCGTCAGCAAAGGTGGCCCAAAGCTGGGGGAGGGTTGACCACAGAGGAGTGGCCCGGCAGGGGGCGGCAGGTGCTCCTGGGGCAGCGCCTGCCCTTATCTGCCTGGCAGTGTGGAGGGCAGCTGGGGGGCAGTAGCTGCGAGTCCCATGGCAGCCAGGATCTGGCCTGAGACAGTGGCCTCGGGGTCTTTCCCTCTCGAGCAGAAGGAGAGAGTCCCCAGCAGGCCCCTTGGAATCTGGGGCTGGGTTGTGCTTTCTCTGATTTCTCCGTCTGCAGCTGCTCAATGTGAAATCTGGCTCTGGAAAGAGAAAGGAGGAGAGAAACGGATTATGTAAGAGCAGTGCTGCCACTCAGCCATCAGCTGCAGGCACCAAGAGTCTATGTGTGCGCTGTACCCACCACCTGGCAGGGACCCCCGGGAATGACTGCAGGCTCACAGCCCAGCCCTGGAGGCTGGCTACTCTGGGAAACAGGCTCACATACAAGAAATGACTTCAGAACATCCCAAGGGCAGCACTGGCCAGGGAGTGAATCACGATGACACCAGCCGGCAGCCACAGGCCTAAACAAAAGCAGGACCAGGGAACGAAAGGCCAAGTGGGTTAAATCAAGGGAGCTTCCTGAAGGAGGTGATATTGCATGTAAGTAAAGTACCTCAGGCTATTCAGGTGGCCATGAGGTTAAAACAGCAGAGTATTAATCCCTCTTTTTACCTTCAGGCTTAGTCCCAATCTCCTATTCGCCAAATCCTTGACCCCCTCTTAATAGGGTTGCTAGATGAAACACCAGGTGCTCAGTTAAACTTGAATTTCATACCAACAACACATATTTTTTTAGTATAATTATGTCATGAATACTTATTAGTATAAGTATGTCCCAAATATTGCATGGCACATATACTTTTAAAAAAATCGTTATTTAATGATTTAATGATTCAATGTTATTTAATTAAACAATGAATTATTTAATTCCAAATTAATCAGAAGTCCTATATATATATAGTTTATTTATTTATTTTGAGAGAGAAAAAGTGTTTGCATGTGTACCCAAGTGGGGGGCGGTCAGAGAGAGGAGAGAATCCCAAACAGGCTCTGTGCTGTCAGTGCAGAGCCCAACATGGGTTTCGATCCCATGACCCTGAGATCATGATCTGAGATGAAATCAAGAGTCAGATGCTTGGGGCGCCTGGGTGGCGCAGTCAGTTAAGCGTCCGACTTCAGCCAGGTCACGATCTCGTGGTCTGTGAGTTTGAGCCCCGCGTCAGGCTCTGGGCTGATGGCTCAGAGCCTGGAGCCTATTTCCGATTCTGTGTCTCCCTCTCTCTCTGCCCCTCCCCCGTTCATGCTCTGTCTCTCTCTGTCCCAAAAATAAATAAACGTTGAAAAAAAAAATTAAAAAAAAAAAAAGTCAGATGCTTAACTGACTGAGCCACCTAGGCACCCCACAAGTCCTGTATTTTTATTTGCTAAATTTAGCAACCCTGTGATAATAACAGGATTGCTCTTCCTGAGTGGTCGCTATGAATAGCTAGGCCCAGGGCTTGGGCTTTTGTATTCAATGAATCTTCATGATAATCTTGCCAGGTCATAAAAATCTCATTTTTATCGATGAAGAAATCAAGGTACAGAAAGGTTAAGATTTGTCCAAGGTCACATAGCTTGTAAGCAGTGGGACAAGAATTCAAACACTGGTAGCCACTCCCACCAGTTGACATCCATCCACACATCCACTCATTAGGACACCCTTACCACCTGGGGCTCTCACATAGTCATCTCTATCACTCACTGGATTCTGTGAGATAAAGCTCTCGTCTCCATTTTGCAGATGAGGAAACAGGTTCTGAGAGACTGAGTTGGCCAGTGACAGAGCCAGCTCTGAAATTCAAAGAAATTCTTTTTTTTCAACGTTTTTTTTTTTGTTTTTTTTTTTGTTCTTTTTATTTTTGGGACAGAGAGAGACAGAGCATGAATGGGGGAGGGGCAGAGAGAGAGGGAGACACAGAATCGGAAACAGGCTCCAGGCTCTGAGCCATCAGCCCAAAGCCTGACGCGGGGCTCGAACTCACGAACCGCGAGATCGTGACCTGGCTGAAGTCAGACGCTTAACCGACTGCGCCACCCAGGCGCCCCTCAAAGAAATTCTTAAATTCTCTGACTCTGTTCTGTTCCATGCCCTTGCCCTCCCTGTTTGCTCTGGAGAAATGGTCACACGTTAATGGCAGGAGGGAGAAGCAGGTATAATGTGGGGGTATTGTCCATGGTGGCATCCATCTCCACAGAACGTACCAGAAGGGCTGGCCCTTACCCTCAGAGGTTCCCAGCAGGCAGGCTGGGCCTCACACAAAGAACACAAGTGTTCCCAGTCGCCATGAACACTAACCTAACTGAAACCTTTTGTTGTTGTTAGTTTTTTTTTTTTTTTTAAGGTTTGTGGAGGTATAACGTATATACAGTAAAATTCACTTTTTCAGTGTACAATTTTATGACAAATAAAACTGACAAATTCAGAGTTGTATAATTGTTGTATAATTGATCCAGACATAAAACATTTCCAACTATGCAGAAAATCCCCTCCTGCTACTTTGAAGACAATCCTTTTCCCAGCCCTAGCCCCATCCAACAGCTCATCCATGTTCTATCCCACAGTATTGCCTTTTCCAGAATGCCAGATAGACACCATGTGCCCTTTTGTGCCGGGGTCCTTTCACTGAGCCGACTGCATTTGGGATTCAGCCAGGCTGTTGTGTGTGTTAGCAGGTTGCTCCTTTTCCTTGCTGAGTAGTATTCTGTTGTACAGACACCAGTTGAAGGGCATCTGAATTGTTTCCAGTTTTTGATGATAACAAATAAAGCTACTACCAGCCTCTGCATACAGATGGTTTTGTTTTTTAACTTTATTTATTTGAGAGAGTGCAGGTCAGGGGCAGAGAGAGAGGGAGAGAGAGAATCCCAAGCAGGCTCTGTGTGTGGCTCGAACCCATGAACCGTGAGATCATGAACTGAGCCAAAGTCTGATCAGCTCAACTCACGGAGCCCCTGCATACAGGTTTTGGTGTGGACAGAAGTTTTCATTTGTCCTGGGCCTTGTCTGTAACTTGCAGGTCCCAGTCACCTTCACACCACACCAAACAGTCCTGATCCTGGGCACCTTCTGTGGCCCCACCCTTTGAGCCCCACCTAAATGGAGGAATTTTGGGAAAGCCAAAGAGGACACACAGTTACCTGATGACACACAGGAGCTACAGTGGGGATGGTGGCCCAGGGGAAACCAGGCTGCCCACAGAGGCCTGGAAACAGGGCAAACAAGGCCAGGCCAGTGGCCTGACAGCAGTCTGCCTAAGAGTGGCCTTTCCCACACCTGAGAGGGCCCAGGGCGCCTCTCTCTTCCTGTCCCTCTCCCTCTCTCTTTTCCTATCTCATGGGGGAGAGTGAAGAGTTTGAGAATGTGCCTCTCGCAAAACACTTACAGTCTACCCCGCAGCTTACAGCAGTCATTACAAAGCTCACAAGAGGCAAAGTTGTGCAAGAAAATAAAATTGGAGTATTCTGCATAGTTCAGTTGTGAATATTAGATTTTTAAAAATATAATCACATTACTATTATTCACATTCCCAAACAAATAATCCCTTATATCATCTAATACAGAATCCATGTTCAACTTTTCCTGGTTGTTTTAAAAAAAAATTTTTTTAAGTTGCTCTGTTTGAATCGAGAGCCTAACAAAGTGATCCGTTGATTGATGTGTCCCTACATCTTTTTTCCTTATTTTTTTTTTTAGTGTTAAGATATAATCCACATGCCCTAAAATTTGCCATTTAAAAGTCTATAATTCAGAAGGAATTTGAGAGAGAGCAGGACAGGGGCAGAGAGAGAGGGAAAGAGAGGGAGAGGGAGAGAGAGGGAGAGAGAGAGGGAGGGAGGGAGGGAGGGAGGGAGGGAGGGAGAGAGAGAGAGAGAGAGAGAGAGAGAGAGAGAGAGAGAGAGAGAATCCCAAGCAGGCTCTGTGTGAGGCTCAAACCTATAGTTTTGATTCCAAAACCAGACAAGGACCCCACTAAAAAGAACTATAAACAAATTTCCCTGATGAACATGGATGCAAAAATCCTCAACAAGATTATTAGCCAACCAGATTCAATAATACATTAAGTTATTCACCACGACCAAGTGGGATTTATACCTGGGATGCAGGGCTGGTTCAATATCCACAAAACAATCAATGTGATTCATCACATCAATAAAAGAAAGGACAAGAACCATATGATCCTCTCAATCGATGCAGAGAAAGCATCTGACAAAATACAACAACCTTTCTTGATAAAAACCCTCAAGAAAGTAGGGATAGAAGGACCATACCTCAAGATCACAAAAGCCATATACAAAAGACTCAACGCTAATATCAGCCTCAATGGGGAAACACTGAGAGCTTTCCCCTTAAGGTCAGGAACAAGACAGGGATGTCCACTCTCGCCACTGTTATTCAACATAGTATTGGAAGTCTTAGCCTCAGCAATCAGACAACACAAAGAAATAAAAGGCATCCAAATCGGCCAGGAGGAGGTTAAACTTTCACTCCTCACAGATGACATGATACTCTATATGGAAAACCCTAAAGATTCCACCAAAAAACTGTGTGAACTGATTCACGAATTCAGCAAAGTGGCAGGATATAAAATCAATGCACAGAAATCGGTTGCATTCCTATACACCAACAGTGAAGCAACAGAAAGAGAAATCAAGGAATCGATCCCATTTATAGTTGCACCAAAACCCATAAAATACCCAGGAATAAATATAACCAAAAACGTGAAAAAATCCATACACTGGAAACTACAGAAAACTTATGAAAGAAATCGAAGAAGACACAAAAAAGTGGAAAAAGATTCCATGCTCCTGGATAGGAAGAACAAATATTGTTAAAATGTAGATACTACCAAAAGCAATCTACATATTCAATGCAATCCCTATCAAACTAACACCAGTATTCTTCACAGAGCTAAAACAAATAATCCTAAAATTTGTATGGAACCAGAAAAGACCCCGAATAGCCAGAAAAAGAAAACCAAAGCAGGAGGCATCACAATCCCGGACTTCAAGCTATACCACAAAAGCTGTAATCATCAAGACAGTATGGTACTGGCACAAGAACAGACACTCAGATCAATGAAACAGAATAGAGAACCCAGAAATGGACCCACAAACGTATGGCCAACTAATCTGTGACAAAGCAGGAAAGAATATCCGATGGAAAAAAGACAGTCTCTTCAGCAAGTGGTGCTGGGAAAACTGGACAGCGACATGC